GGCAGCCAGCGCCAGGGGGGGAGCCCTGGAGTCCTCTGTCCCTCAAGCAAGCAAGCCTCATGTTCGCTTCCAGCTGCCTGGCTGCTGGCCGCCATCTTGGCTGACAGTTAATTTGCATATTGCCCTGATTAGCCCATGGGAAGGGTAGCGGATGTACAGCTAATTACCATTTTCTCTTTTATTAGATAGGATGTTGCACTGACTCTTAAGATCTCAGGACTTTAAAGGGAACAAAACCCCTGGACCTCACTTTCTGCCACATCTGTGCCTGAAGTCAGCTGGTGGGGCTGATGGGGGTGGATTGAATCCCTCTCCTGCGATGCAGATTTGTCAGGGCAGGTGGCAGGTGCAAAGATGGAGTGTGAAGGGAAGATGAAAAGAAGAGGTAGGAAGTCCAGTATGGCGTTTGTGTGCCTACTGCATGCATTATAATGTTATTATAATGTGCCTTGTTATAGTACTAATTCAGACCTTCAAAAATGTTGATTCATTTTTTTTTAAATATATTTTATTGATTTTTTACAGAGAGAAAGGGAGAGGGATAGAGAGTTAGAAACATCGATGAGAGAGAAACATCGATCAGCTGCCTCCTGCACATCTCCCACTGGGGATGTGCCTGCAACCCAGGTACATGCCCTTGACCGGAATCGAACCTGGGACCTTTCAGTCTGCAGGCCGACGCTCTATCCACTGAGCCAAACCGGTTTCGGCGATTCATTTTTAAATTGACCTGAAAAAAATGTTTACTGAGAAAGGCAGTATGGCATAGCTATTAAAAGCACAAACTCTGGTGCCACGCTGTTCCTGACTAAAGTCTACTGGCACGGGGACATTAGAGAGTTGCATTAACATCTCTGTGCCGAATTTCTCATCTGTAAATCGGAATAATAAGCGCCCACTTCCTACGACTGTTGTGAAAACTTAATGAGTTGTGTGTAAACACTCAGAACAGCACCTGGCAATGAATAAGTGTGAGCTGGGGTTTTTATAATACCTGATGCTGTACACTGTGCTAAGAACGTTACCGACATGACTTAATTTTTAAATGTTATTTCTTGATTTTAGAGCGAAAGATAAAGGGAGGGAGGTAGAGAGGGAGAAGAGAGATGGATTTGTTGTTCCACTTATGCAGTCATTGGTTGATTCTTATATGTGCCCTGATGGAGGATCAAATCTGAAACCGTGGTGTATTGGGACAACACTATAACCAACTGAGATACCAGGGCTCAAACATGACTTATTTACTGACAACAACCTATGAGCATCAACTAAGTACCTACTGTGTGTCAGGTACTATTGTAGACTCTTGGGATCCATGAGGAATGAATCAGATACGGATTCCTGTTCTATGGAGCCACATTCCTCCAGGGCGCAGGGGGGCAGACAGTGAACAATAGGTAAAGTAAGTAGGCTGTGAAGTTCGACAGAACATACAAGTGCTATGAATGAAAGAAAAAGTAGAGCAGGGTGAGGGAATGGTAACAAAATCCTGGATTGAGCCTCATTTCCTTGCCATTTTAATGTCCTTACACAAAGGTACCTAATTAGCTGAGCTTCCCTTTCATCATCTGTAAATTGGGGGTAATAATATTTGTTTTCTTGTTCACAACAAGATGCTTCCATGTCACTGAAGCATCCAAGGCTGGTGGGGAGGCCCTGGGGCCGGTTGAAGTTATAAATAGGGTGGTCATGTTCGACCTGGTTGAGAGGGAAAATTTGAGCAAAGTCTTGTAGGAAGAGAAATAAGCCAGCAAGTCAGCTCTGCAGGGAAGAGGGTTTCAGGCAGAAGGACCCCTTGCATTAAAGGCCCACCTTGGGAGCACGGGAGCGAGCCTGGTAGGGTTGAGGAACAGCAGCAGGACAGGAGTGGGTGGAATAGAGGGAGCGAGGAGGTCTGCTGCAGAAGAGGTTGGGAGTTGTCGCGGCGAGGGATTGAGGAGAGCTGGGTAAGCTTCTGCTGGGCTGTAACTTCCCTCTGAGTGAAATGGGAGCCAATGGTAAATGATGGCAGCCATTACTGATCCGTTTACTAATGGATAAATGGGGGCTGGGAGAGGCTAAGTAACTACACAAAGTTATACAGAGTAAATGAACATTTGGGGTTATTACCCTACAAATTCTTATCCTTTTTATGGGGCAGAGAGGGATGATGCAAACAGGGGTGGGGAAAGTCAGCCTTGAGGTATTGAATCCATGCTCTCAAAGTCCAGACACGATGATTTATCATTCACTGGCCTCCAGAGGACAGATGGAAGATACAGGAGACGGCCATGGCTCTTGCTTGGTCAATGGACTTTGATCTTGTGCTCCTACAAAACCTTGCACATAGCTCTGTCATAGCTCTTTATTGTATTGAATATATGTGCTTAAACATCTGTCTTTCCTTCACAGACTAAGGCTCCCCATTCTTGCATCTGACACTTGGCTTAAATCACAGGATTCCCTGCAGTCAGCGGCAAATTTGGCGAAGAGGCGGTTCTCAAGAAATGTATATGTGCTCTGTCTTCAATTTAAATCAGAACAAAGAGACTTGATTGCAGGGAAGTGGTGATCATGAGTTAGTCCGGTGAATAACAACAGTAGAAAGTCAGTCACTAACGCTCTGGGCTAGAAGGGCAGAAGGAGGAGTTACAACAATCCAGGGGTTGGGGTCACCAGACAGAAGCTGTAACCAAAATGATACCCAGGAGAAGAAACGGTCTCTGCCTCAAAATGTTTTCTGACCTGGAACTTCATGTGCAGCCTAACACGGTCCAGGCATCCCCCTCGAAGGAACCTTTTCAGAATCTGCCTCCCCTGTCTTCCCTGTAATGTCTGGAGCTTAGGAGCAGTGGAGAAGACTGATTAAAGGCTCAGACTTGATCACCTCTGGGCAAGTTACTGGCCTTCTGTGACTTAGTTTTCTCCCCTGTAAAACTGGGAAATTAATATCTGTCTCAGAGGGAGAGTTTAAAGAGGAAAAGTGCGATTACATTTATAAAATTACACACACACACTTTTTTCCCATAAATGGTATTATAGGCTGCATATTGTGCGTATTTTCCATTAACAACAAATCTGGAAATACTTCCAAAGCTGAGTACAGTGACATGAAATGATGCCTCCATTAATCTAAACACAATACTACATTTCTATTATAGGAGCTAAGATTATATTAGTTGCCTTTTTGTTGTTGTTGTTTTGGAGGGGGGTGATGGAGGATTTTTTAACATTAGGTTGGACTAGTATAGTGTCATCTACAATCTCAGAGTGTTTTTCTTAATACTTGTTATAAGCCATGCTCCTCCTATGCTATACTTCTGAAACTGAATTTTTTAAACCTAAATGTAAGGCTCGGCATTCATTTCCATTAAGTTACATTTTGTTGTTTTGACCTAGACTCAAGGTCTTTTGAAGTTTTGAGTCTTTTATCAAGACAGTGATCCCTCCCAGCCGTGAACATAGTCACTATGATTTTATTTCCATGTCACTGAAGCATCCAAGGCCAAGAACAGAGGCCTGTATATCATGAAACAAATGTGACCTTGCTCCAGATACATAGATCTGCTTCCCTTGCACTGTCTTGGCAGGAAAGTTGTTCTGGGACTACATGTTCTACTGGGTCCTGACCCTTTGCTTTCCCCGCTCCTTCACCTCCCTGTTTAGACCAAAATCAAAAGATGGTCAAGAATGCTGAAGGAGAGAATATATCAGTTTACTTTACTACTCCTCATAGCTTTGGTGACAAAAACAAAATTCAACACAGGAGGTGTTTGAAACAATGGAGATAAAATACGTGTTTTTTTTTTCTTTGGTAGGGGGAGAGAGAGGGCATGCACTGAAGATTCCAATTAGAAATTAAATATAGATCAGAAACTCATTTGATGAATTCA